TATATATACGCATTTATATGTATATATATATATATATATATATATATATATATGTGGTTGCAGTAGTACCGTATACTTATACCTTGGCTCGTCTTGTATAACTAAGCTGCCCAAGAACAGACCTATAGGAAGTCTTTCTGCAGTCAATGTGGGTCGAGAAATTTCTTCCAATTTATTTTTTAGTATTGTGTAGAACAATATTCATGAAAACTGTTTTGTTATTCATATGTTGTCCGTTGCGTGAACACAATTCATCATTCTGTCCAGTAGTACTCTGAAATTCAGCTTCTTCTGCTCCCCGCACCGTCGCCTTGAACTCAACGAGGCAGAGTTGTACAGGCGGCTCCTCAGCAAGAGGTAAATGCTTTTGAGAGAAAAAAGAAGTCCACATCTTAACTTAACAAACTAGCTAAGAAGATCAAAGCAGCTGCTTATGCTCTAACCTACAACCTCTGTGCAGGAGGCAGCAGCAGGGTTTGTTGCAGCAGCAAGGTTTGTTGCAACTCGCTAGAGGTCACCCACTCTCAACATCAGTGTCAGGCCATTGAACCTCCGTGCCTGGGGTATATAAAGGATGGAGAGGAGATTAACAGCAGCTTTTTTAAAATTTTGCTCTTAAGTGTTCACTCTGCTGCACCTCATGACGGGCCTACGTATGCATATCCACGCACCACCCCCGCGAATCGATTAACACTGCAGGCATACGCTACCCCATTCACTGGCCGCCAACAACCAGCCCGCACTCCAGAAGAAATCCAAAAAACAGTTTCAGGCGGATCGGGCTCCAGATCCTGCTTCAATTGCCTAACCATAAAGCCCGAAACCCTGCACCCAGAACCGAGGACTTCTGTTCAACTTTTTTTCGAGACTAGCTGGGGCATATCCACGGTATTTGTTTGTATTTAAACATCTTAATAAATACATTAATTATTATTTTGGTTTAGGGAGGAGAAATGATGCTTCATTGCTCGTGCAAACACCAGCATCGACCCTTCGCTCAGACCGCCACCACGACCAAGCCACTGGCTCTGGAGACGTTTGCAAACACCAAGGGAGCTGCCATACACCATTGCCGCTGCTTGCATCGTCTGCATGCGGCACTAAGCCATAACGCGATCCACGGATAAAGGGCACATAAAGGCCGTCACAGCGCAAAAAATCCCAGTCGTAGAGCACCGGGAGGGGGGCACAGCACCCCCCGCAATGAGCAGGAGGCAGAAGGGAGGTTTCCCGCTGTATCCCCCCATAAAAGGCGTTTTTGGAGATGGATCTAGATTTAATTGGAAGTAAAATGGTTTGTTTAATTGGCTTATAACCGTTGAGTGGTATGAGAAGACAGACGTAACCCGAAACCAACGCGAAAACAACAACCCACAGAGATCTCCTCGACCTGCCGCGCCTGCCGACCTGCCGCGTCTCTGGTGTTGCTTGTTTTTTGCATTTGTTTAAATTAAATGGTTTATTTCAGAGGCTAAGTCATGCACAACAATTTCTGTTTGTTTTATTTTTGGTCAATATTAATCTATTTAATTTTATCTTTTGCTTGCAATTTTGGCTTTGCTGTCTCGTTTTTTGCCATTCGCCGTTCACGCGACTGCAGGACCACGCGTAGAACTCCGAACTGCTTGCCGTTTTCTCCGGCCTCCTCAATTTGAATATTTATATTTCTCTTGTCTAGAACACTTTTTTAAAAATTTTCTTGCCTTCCGTCGCAATGGCTCCCTTTTACAAGACCGCAGCCGCATTTTGCCTCGTCGGGCTCTTTGGGCTCCAATGCGGGGCGGCAACCGAAACAAAATATAAATTTGAGGTAGTCCAAGTCAAAGATGGTAAGCTTATTACCTCTTAGAATTCTTACATTCCTTGTGCTTTCTCCCATCTTGTTTTCTGTCAAGCCGTCAACTACTCGGCTGCGACAGAGGTCGGTGCATTGCATATTGATATTCCTCTCCGACTTTGTTCTCTGCAGACGCCTACTTAACGGCAAAGCTGGCCCGTAATGGAAAAATTTCGGCTAAGACAAATACAGTCGAAAAGGATAGCCAGACTGTCACCACCTTGCAGGGAAAAGTAGCAGCCAAAATCGACGGCAGTGATGTGACTTGCGCGGCACTCATAGACGACACACTTGTGAGCGCATACACTACGAAAGGCAGGTTTGTATGATGTTGCTGGGGGTATTGTTGTGTCACCATCAGCTGCAAGTCTAAACTATAGACACCGTTGTCAGAGCCGGCAGAAATTAGGCGCGTATTCAAACTGAGCATAAGAAAGCTGTATTGTCGTTTTGTTCATTCTTTCGGTTTACAGGAGAAGCTCTTCCACGTCACTTTTGAATACACAGATGATCCAGACTACCGTACACTGGTGCAGGGTGCTCTCAAAACCGGACTTGCAGAATTCAGGTATGGAAATACTATATTCATCTTCGCTACAGGCAGCTTCCATCTGCCTTCTGAACAAATCAAAGCGACAGTACTCATA